GCCTTAAACATAATCTGCAAGATATTATAATCAACCAACTCATAAAATTTTAATAATTTCAATTTTAAAAATAATATATTGACTGTAATGTTTTCTGGTGATAATTCTGATGGCTCTTTTTGACTTCACAGTGCGTTCTAGACATTTTTTCCAACTTGAAATTTTCTCTCTTGTTGGAGCCACTTTGCGCAAAACACTATTAATATTAGAAAGCACTTTTAAATAAAGGTTTCAGGGGTTTTAAATCAGACCAGGCAGAGCAGATTCCATATTTAACCCGAGTTGTTTGATGAGTAAACTAATTAAATCAGGGCCGACTCATCACCTCCTGAGTGAAGGTGACTGAACGCCCTCTCCTCAGTCAGATTGTAATGGCATATTTGACTTAGAGCTGTTGTGTGCACTGTTGCATCCTTTGATATATCGCTCTCCTTTGTAGCTCATCAGTCAGCTAACCTTGGGGAGAGCTGGAGACGAGGCGAGAGGGAGATAAAAGACTTAAGCTGTTGTCTGAATGGCTCCTGTCTCAATCTAGCTGTTAAATGGTAGTTTGGCTACAGCTGCTGACAAAGACAGTCTCTCCACTGTTGTTGTCAGATTGTTGTGTTTGGGTAAAAATCAAGCCGCCTGCCATTTTGTCAGCATATCATGCGTCTGAGAACAGGTTGAGGATTAGGCGACAGAGTGTTGTTGGGGAATTAACAGCTCTTCAGAGTCATGTTTTAGCATCACAAAAACAAACCCTCGGGATGTAAAAAGTGCTTCCAACTTTTTCTCACTTTTTTCCCCCCACTTCTCTTGTCTGGGTGCAGGTATCGCAGTCTGAAGCATTTCAACTATGACGTTTGTCAGAGCTGCTTCTTTTCTCGGCGCACTGCCAAGGGCCACAAATTCAACTACCCCATAGTGGAGTACTGCACACCGGTGAGGAATTAACACACACACACACAAACGTGGACTCACATTATCTCGCCTCAACACCCTCACRCACTCCGCTTAACCATTTAGTGACAGCACCAGATCCACACTTTCAGACTGCAGTTGCTTCCTATCCCATGTCCGTGTCAAATAAAGCAGGAGTTCTTAACCTTTTTGACCTCGGGGCCCAATTTGTTGAACATAAAGTGGCACGAGGCCCCATCAGACATTACCAATGTATGGA